GGGTTTCGGGGGGGGCGGGGGCCGGCATTCGTGGCCGTGGAAAGACGCTTTACGGAGGGGACCCCCCTCCCCAGCAAGTGGCTGACTCTGGTTTCTGCCCTGGCCAGCGAGTCCCTGGGGGAGATGGCCGCCCGGTTCACCATCCTCATCAAGAACAACATCCACTTCCCACGCTTCCGGTTCTCCAAGTACGGCCCCGCCCGGGAGCAGCGACCAGCGAACGGACGTGCCCAGCCCTGGCAGTGCCAGTCAGGAGCCGCGCCGGGGGGGGGGGAGTGGGGCTGCGGGGTGCCGTGGGTACAGCCGGCGGGCGACCTGGCTGGAGGCCGGCCCCCTAGAGCCGGCCTGGCACTGCGGCTCAGCACCCTGTCAAGACGGCTGTGGGGTGCGGGTATAGGGGTCTGAAAACATGGCTCTACAGCTGGGCAGGTGCATGGGGGGGTGTTTGTGCACAGGTGTGCGCGCACCTGCCTGGGCGTGCCTGCACCTGCACAGGTATATGTGTACACAGGTGTGTACCTGCACAGGTGTGCATACGTGTGTGGGTGTGTATATGCACCCACACAGGTGTGTATGCACCTACCTGGGAGTGTCTGCACCTGCACAGATATGTGTATTCACAGGTGTGTACTTGCCCAGCTGTGCATACCTGCATGTGCGTGTATGCACCTGCATATGTATAGGTAGGCACCTGCACAGGTATGGGTATGCACAGCTGTGTACCTGCACAGGTGTGCATACCTGCACGTATGTGTACCCACACAGGTGTGTATGCACCTGCATGGAAGTGTATGCTCCTGCAAAGGCATGCACCTGCACAGCTGTGTACCTGCACAGGTGTGAATGCACCTGCATAGGAGTGTATGCTCTTGCACAGGTATGTATGCACCTGTACAGGTATGTGGACCTGAACAGGTGTATATGCATCTATTTGGGCATGTCTGCACCTGCACAGGTATGTATACCTGTATGTGTATGCACCTGCACAGGTGTGTGGACCTGCACAGGTGTATATGCATCTACCTGGGAGTGTTTGCACCTGCACAGGTATGTATACCTGTATGTGTATGCACGTGCACAGGTGTGTATGCACCTACCTGAGAGTGTCTGCACCTGCACAGGTATGTATACCCACAGGTGTGTACTTGCACAGCTGTGCATACCTGCACGTGCGTGTATGCACCTGCACAGGTCTGGGTACGCACCTGCACAGGTCTGGGTATGCACAGGTGTGCATACCTGCACAGGTGTGTATGCACCTGCATGGAAGTGTATGCTCCTGCAAAGGTATGCACCTGCACCGCTGTGTACCTGCACAGGTGTGCATGCACCTGCATAGGAGTCTATGCTCTTGCACAGGTATGAATGCACCTGTACAGGTATGTGGACCTGCACAGGTGTATATGCATCTACCTGGGCGTGTCTGCACCTGCACAGGTATGTATACGCACAGGTGTGCATACCTGCATGTGTATGCACCTGCACAGGTGCATATGCACCTGCCTGGGAAGGTCTGCACCTGCCCAGGTGTGCACACCTGCCCAGGGTCCGGGGGCCTGTGGGTCACATGGAGGTCCACGTGGCATGTTGTTCCCTTGCACGGTGGGGGGCGGGGGGAGGCTACTCTGCAGCTCCGGGCGTGTCTCCCCAGAGGGAACGTGAAGGACGATCAAACCGGCTACCTGAGCGCCTGCACCTTCAACGAGACCACGGCCCTCTACTGCCCCATCTTCCGCCTGGGCTCCATCGTGGAGCAGGCGGGTGAGAACTTCACGGCCTTGGCCGAGCAGGTAGGGTGCGCGGGGGACCCCTTACCCG